TAAAAGGAAAGTTGTAGCTATGTCTTAGGAGTTTGGGCTGGTTCCTGCAAGAGAAGACTCAGCCAGGCCTTGCAATATCACACTACTGCTCCCCAAACCCCAGCAGGCAGTCCCAAGAGTCAAGTTCAGGCCTCATCAACCATCCCCCTGGAAGGAGGCACAGTCCACCCTGTGCTCTCTGCACTTCCTTCCCCCGAACCCAGTAGGGTCACCAGAGCCTCAGTCCTGCTTCCAAGGCTCTGGCTGAGTCCTCAGTCCTCTAGGTGACCCAAGCCCTTCTTTTCCCAGGCCTGTATCTGCAGCGGGAGCCAATGACCTGGTCCCATTTCAGCGAGAAAACAGAAGGCATTTTGGGCACCCTTACAACCTTTCTCTCGACTCTTCAGCCACATGCCAGCCAGTGATGATGAACTATCAGTGGGCACAGACTGCTGGGATCTTGTTAAAATACAGACTCTCAGGCCCCTGCTGCCAGTATGCAATCCAGAATCTGTATTTTTGCAGCTGGTGCCAACGACTCTAGTGGAGATGGTCTTTACACCACACTGGCAGGCTCCAGAGCAGGGTCCCCTCTGCCCCACATGGTCCCTACTCTAGGAAGCAGGCCACCTGCCCTCCCCCCATCCCCATGGGCAGACACTGCTAGCTACTGATCTTTTCACACACCTACTGTGTGCATCTGGGAGAATTGAATTGCTGGTTTCGGTCTTTTCATTGTCCTTTAAAACTTTTATTTTTCTTAAGAGACTAGGGTCTCATTCTCAGCTCTTAGATTCCGAGTCTGAAACATCCTCCCAGAATATTTTGGACCATAGGTTTGTGTCACTGTGCCCAGCATTTTCCAAAAATGAATTATAGAGAATTCCAAACACATACAAAGAGAAACAGCAGTGTCTTAGTTAAGATTCCTATTGCTGTGAAGAGATACCGTGACCACGGCAACTTTTTTTTTATTATGTATACAGTATTCTGTCTGCATGTATACCTGCAGGCCAGAAGAGGGTGCCAGATCTCATTACAGATGGCTGTGAGCCACCATGGACCACGGCAACTCTTATAAGGAAAACATTTAATTGAGGTGGCTTACAGTTTCAGAGGTTCAGTCCATCATCATCATGGTGAGACATGGTGGCATGCAGGCCAACGTGGTGCTGGAGAAGTAGCCGAGTGTCCTACATCTTGACTTGCAGGCAACAGAAAGTGGTCGTCTGAGATCCTGGACGGTGGCTTGAGCATATATGAGACCTCAAAGCCCACCCCCACAGTGACACACTTCCTGCAGCAAGGCCCCACCTACTCCAACAAGGCCACACCTCCTAACAGTGCCACTCCTATGAGACTATGGGCCAGTTACATTCAGACGATCACAAGTAGCTACTTTGCAACCGTCGTCCAAACCCAACCATCATCATTCCTAGCCAGTCCTGTGTCCCACACCTCCATCAATACCCTAATCTCCAACACTGTCTTTTTGCATTTATCCAACTATACTTATTTTATATGTGCGCATACCCCAGCCCATGTGTGACAGTCAGAGGACAACTCTGGTGTCTACTTCCTTCCTCGTTCATGCGGCTCCTGGGAATTGAACTCAGGTCTCCAGGCTTAGACGGCGAGCACTTTACCTGCTGAGCCATCTCGCTGGTCCTCCAACTACATTGTTTTGATGCAAATTCTGGGCATTACATCATTGCACCCGTGAATATTTTATCTTTTTTTTCCTCTCTTTTTTTCTTTTCTTTCTTTTTTTTTTTTTTTTTTTTTTGAGACAGGGTTTCTTCTCTGTGTAGTCCTGGCTGTCCTGAAATTTGTTCTGTAGACCAGGCTGGCCTTGAACTCAGAGATCTGCCAGCCTCTGCCTCCCCAGTACTGGGATTAAACTGTCATCATACCCAGCTTAAAGATTTATTTTGAATTACGCATATGTGTGTATGTGTGTAGAATGTACACATGGGAGCAGGTCTTGGCAATATCTAGAAGAGGAAAACGGATCCCCTTGGAGCTCAAGTCACAGGTGGACGTGAGCCATCCGACCTGTGGGTGCTGGGAACTGAACTCAGGTCCCGTGAAGGAGCAGTTCGGGTTCTCAACTGCTGAGCCATCTCTCCAAGCTGTGAACCTGTTTTAAGTATCATTACCATTTAAGGGTTTAATGTGTTTGAATCCCCTGGAGTTATTTTTAGTCCGTCCGTCCAAAGTGTCCTTTTCTGAGAAGCACGAGCCTTTCAAACTGTATTCTGTGTAGTCTTTCATCCGGGTGTCCTTTGAGGCTCCCAGCCTTTGTAACGTTCTTTGGCTCTTCTTCTATCACAGCGTCGTCTACCCCAGCCTCCCTCTCAGCAGACTGGAGCTGTATGCGCCAAGCATCCTCACCTTATCATTTCTCTCAGAAGGGAAGTGGGGACCATGGCACCTTTTACACAGCTAAGATGACTTAGTGACTCTAAAGGAACTGGAATGACATCACCTGTCACAAAACAAGAGAGATATAAGCGTGGTCCTCCCTCAGGACCCACGAAGGAGTGGTTCTATGCCCTCGGGGTACCAGAATCCACAGATGTTCAAGTCCCTCCTGTAAAACGGCACAGCTGGGTTGGGAGAGAGCTTGCCTACCATGCACAGAGCCCTGGGTTTGATCCTAAGCACCCTATAAACTGGGCGTGGTGCTACAGGCCTATAATGTCAGTACTATGGAAGGGGAGGGAAAAGATTAGAAATTCAGGATCACTCCTCTATACAGAGCAAATCTGAGGTCAGCTTGGGCTGCAGGAGACCCTATCTCAAAAGGGGGCGGGACCCAATATTTGCATATGGAGATTTTAAATCACCTCTGGGTTACTGTAACACCTGATACAGTATATGTAGTGTGTGAACATGGTTGAACTGTATCGATTAGGGAGTAATGACAACAGAGGAAGTCTGCACAGGTTCAGAACAGGCGCCCTGTTCTCATTTGAGCATTTGGATCCTTGATTCTTTGGGTTTGGAGCTGTGTGGATGAGCAGTTATGGAAGTCCGATTTACTTGTCAAACCAACAAGATTCCTGGGTGACGATGGAAACATTTCTTCCACGTCCCACCAGCAGAGCCTGACACACGGTCCCCAAACAGTTTTCAATCAGCAGACATGGCTGTCTAGCTGGGACATCTCTTTTGACATCTGACAGGACAGAGCAGCAAGAGCCAGACTTCCAGCATGAGAGTCACGAATACAATCTCAACTACCCTAAGACGACTGACGCTCACATTGACAACCTTCCTTCCACCCCAAGGCCGCAGAAGTCCTGCTTCTGTGAATGGCATGCAGAACCACAACCTCACCTGCTCTAGATTCAGCCATGTGCCTTTTCTGCTGGACAGTCTCTTCCTGAAGATTTTGGGAGCGCCATAGACCTGAGGGAGTCAATGCCTCCCTAATCGGGTTCAAAATGTCCCAAACTAGGCATGTTCCAGTCAGATAAAGAAAGAAGCGGGCGGCTGGGTGGTGGTGGCTCATGCCTTTGATTCCAGAGCTAGGGAGGCAGAGGCAGGCAGATCTCTGAGTTCAAGGCCAGCCTGGTCTACAGGAGTTCCAGGACAGCCAGGGCTACACAGAGAAACCCTGTCTTCTAAAAACCAAAAATAAATAAATAGATCAATAAATAAAACGGGGTGGGGTGGGGGGGTGGACTGACTGCCGAGGGGAATTTCTTAGGCTCAACGCTGCTTGCCCTTGGGTCTGCTGTAGATCGGCCTCAGCCCCCAGCCCTTTGCTGTGTGAACACTGGAATGTTGGGGACTGTCGTTTAACTGTCACCATGGTCTTCCTCATTTACCTCTGTGGCCTGGGGTGAGCAAGAGGGGGCACAGCAGGGGAGGGACACGCCACCAAACTAAGCTCTGTTCCTCATCACCTCCTATAATGCCCACTATTGCCTGCTAACCCCATCCTCATGTCCTATAATGCCCACTGTTCCCTGCTAACCCCATCCTCACCTCCTATAATGTCCACCATTCCCTGCTAACCCCATCCTCACCTCCTACAATCCCACCATTGCCTGCTAACCTCATCCTCACCTCTTATAATGCCCACCATTGCCTGCTAACCCCATCCTCACCTCCTACAATCCCACCATTCCCTGCTAACCCCATCCTCACCTCCTACAATCCCACCATTCCCTGCTAACCCCATCCTCACCTCCTACAATCCCACCATTGCCTGCTAACCTCATCCTCACCTCTTATAATGCCCACCATTGCCTGCTAACCCCATCCTCACCTCCTACAATCCCACCATTCCCTGCTAACCCCATCCTCACCTCCTACAATCCCACCATTCCCTGCTAACCCCATCCTCACCTCCTATAATGCCCACCGTTCCCTGCTAACCCCATCCTCACCTCCTATAATGCCCACCATTGCCTGCTAACCCCATCCTCACCTCCTTCTATAATGACCACTGTTCCCTGCTAACCCCATCCTCACCTCCTTCTATAATGACCACTGTTCCCTGCTAATCCCATCCTCACCTCCTATAATGCCCACCATTCTCTGCTAACCCCATCCTCACCTCCTATAATACCCACCATTGCCTGCTAACCCCATCCTCACCTCCTTCTATAATGACCACTGTTCCCTGCTAACCCTATCCTTACACTGAGTACATTGAGTTCCTATAATGCCCACCGTTCCTTGCTAATCCCGTCCTCACCTCCTATAATGCCCACCATTCTCTGCTAACCCCATCCTCACCTCCTATAATACCCACCATTGCCTGCTAACCCCATCCTCACCTCCTTCTATAATGACCACTGTTCCCTGCTAACCCTATCCTTACACTGAGTACATTGAGTTCCTATAATGCCCACCGTTCCTTGCTAATCCCGTCCTCACCTCCTATAATGCCCACCATTCTCTGCTAACCCCATCCTTACCTCCTTCTATAATGACCACTGTTTCATGCTAACTCCATCCTGACCTTCTTTCATGCAGAAAGGAAAGAAAATCCCTTGACTCGAAAAATGGCATCAGGAGATACAAAGACAAGCCTCAAGGATGCCTACCCCTCTGCCAGGAGGCTGTCCCTGCAGGAGGAGGAGGAGGGAGAGGTTGAGGACTACTGCACCCCTGGACCCTTCGAGCTGGAGCGCCTCTTCTGGAAGGGCAGCCCCCAGTACACACACGTCAACGAGGTCTGGCCCAGACTCCACATTGGTGATGAGTAAGTTCCAGGCCCAGCCTTACATTGCCCTTACGTCACCCTGGGAAAGGCACAAGTGCTTCCTCAATCACTCTGTACCAACTCCTAGTCACAGGCCTTGTCTTCCAGGTCAGTTGATCTATGAGAAGTATATTAGTTAGGGCTCATCTCCTAACTTTTTACAGAAAACTGAGAAAAAGAGCCTTAAGCAAGGCAGGCTTATTTTTCTCTTATGTACAAGTCCAAAGGAGGGCTAGGTGGGGCAACCATGGTGACTACAGGGGTGCTGAGATGAGAGCTTCTGTGCATTGCTTCACCATCATGAGGGTCTAACGTCCTTCTTCAAGGTTGCTCAGGACCCAAAATCCTCACAGGGATCTGCTATGAACCATAGGATCCAGACAAAAGGAAAGTCAGGAGAAAGGAAGTCAAGAAGGGCAGCTTTCCAAGAAGAAATCTAGCCCAAGACTTCCCCTGCACCTAGCTGCAAGAGAGGCTGGGATATGTAGTCTTCTATTTTACTGACTATTAACAACAGAAGGAATAGGAGTTTGGCACAGGAGTACCCCAAACTATGTGTCTGAAAAACAGTAGTCAAAATTGAGGTCACTGCCCCTTTCTAGGTCTTATAGTCAGTTTCCCCACTTCACAAACAACTGAGAAATATCTATGGTAGGTGAGGATGAAGATGATGATGATGATGATGATGATGACGATGGCCATCATTAGGGACCACTGTATGGTAGGCACTATGCTTAGAACCCTGCAAACACAACCTCATTTGGCCCATGATAACCCAATGAGAGAGAATCTCTCAAGGTAAGGAACCTGAGTCACAGAGCTGTTTAGTTAGTACCCTCTATCCTGAAATCTTGATGACAGAGAGCTGAAGCTCATGACTTCTACTTTACCCCCACACACACACACTATCATCCTTCTGAACTTCATGCCCTGCCTGTCCTTAGAGCAGATGTGCAGGACCCCGGTGCGTGTTGCTCTTAATACCCAGCTGGCCACCTACAAACCAGAGGTAAATTATCTAGCATGGGCAATAGCCCTTGTCATATTTTTCCCTTAATCTTTTTTTTTAAGCTATGAGAAGTTAGAAAAATTGCATACCCTTACCTACTAAGTTAAACATGGGGGTTATAAAAACAAACTATAAACCAAACATGGTGCGGCATGCCTATAATCCTAGTGCTTTTGAGGTAGAGACAGGAAAATTAGAAGTTCAAGGTCAATTTTCACTATATAGTAAATTCAAGGCTAGCCTGGGCTCATGAGACTCTGTCTCAAACAAAACAGAAACAAACAAATGTACAATCTCTCTTTTTCCACTCTTAACAAGCATTAAGACAATATTAATATATTTATGTCAAGTATTATGACAATATTTTCAATATTTATTCATTTATTTTTAATATATGAGTGCTCTGTCAGCATGTATGCCTGCATGCCAGAAGAGGGCATCAGATCCCATTATAATAGATGGCTGTGAGCCACCATGTGGTTGTTGGGACTTGAACTCCAGACCTCTGGAAGAGCAGGCAGTGCTCTTAACCACTGAGCCACCTCTCCAACCCCCCCCCCTTTTTTTTTTTTTGGTTTTTCGAGACAGGGTTTCTCTGTGCAGCTTTGCGCCTCTCCTGGGACTCACTTGGTAGCCCAGGCTGGCCTCGAACTCACAGAGATCCGCCTGGCTCTGCCTCCCGAGTGCTGGGATTGAAGGCGTGCGCCACCACCGCCCGGCTCCAGCCCCCTTTTAAAAGCATTTTTTTTGTCTTTTTTTTTTTTTTTCGAGACAGGGTTTCTCTGGGTAGCTTTGCGCCTTTCCTGGAACTCACTCTGTAGCCCAGGCTAGCCTCGAACTCACAGAGATCCACCTGCCTCTTCCTCCCGAGTGCTGGGATTAAAGGCGTGCGCCGCCGCCGCCGCCGCCGCCGCCGCCGCCGCCGCCGCCGCCGCCACCACCCGGCTTAAAAGCATTTTTAGTGTGTGTGTGTGTGTGTGTGTGTGTGTGTGTGTGTGTGTGTGTGTGTGTGTGTGTGTGTGTGTGTGTGTGCATGTGAGTACAAGTGCCAGCCACAATGTATGCATGGAGGTCAGAGGATAATTAGCTGAAGTTGATTCTCTCTCCACCAAGCAGGAACTACGGATTGAACTCAGGCCAAGCGAGCACCTTTACCCACTGAACATCTTGCTAGGCCCCATCGATCAAGTTCATGTGCTATTTCCGCTTTCCGTGTGCTGTTTCAAACATAAGGAAACATATACACACATATACGAGGCATTTGCATTTCTTTTCTTTTCAAAGATTTATTTTCCTTATGTATACATACGTATGCCTGGGGTTGGGGGATGCGTATGAATGCAGGTGCCAGCAGAGGCCAGGGTGCTCCCCTGGCGCTGTAGTTATGGGCAGTTGTAAGTGGCCCAAGGTGGGTGCTGGGAACCACCGGGGTCCTCTTTAAGAGCAGTATGCGCTCTTACCTGCTGAGCCAACTCTGCAGCTCCACAAACGGGTGTTTCATTTTGTTTGCTGAGACAGGGTCTCAGTAGCCTTCAACTCCTGCTTTTCCTGCCTCATCCCCTCAAGCATTGGGATCAGAGGCACACACTACCATGTCTGGCTTAAACACTTTCTTCTTAAAAAACAAATCCCACCATGCATGCTGTTCTGCATTTTTAATATTCCACAGTATAACTATGGTACAATTTGTCCAGTCGTTTCCCAGTTGAGAACATTAGGGGGACTCAGGCGAGGGGTGCACAGAGCTCAATGTACTGTTTCCTCTTAGAACTCGGCTCTATTGGGATATAATTCATATACCAGAAAACCACGCCTCCTAAGTGGTACAACTCAGTGATTTTATGATATCTGCAGAGTTGTGCAACCATCACCACTATCTAACTGCAGAACCTTTTTATCATCATCTCCAGAGGAAACCAGGATCCATTAAGCAGTCACTCCTCACTCCCCACCTTCCTCAGGCCCCCGCAGCCACCCGTCTACCTTCTGGTTTTATACCTTGGCCTAGCCTGGACATTGTATGGCAACGGAACCGTCCGACCTGGTGGGCTTTTGTAACCGCCTTGTCTTTTCCTCTGCGTACTCTTCACAGTTCATCTACCCGGTGACATGTACTGATGCTGCATTTGCTTTTCATTCCCGCCAAACAACTTCTGTGTTACATCTGTAAGTTCTCCAGAAGTCAAATTTAGCTTTTGTCAAAGAGGTGTGCACGCACTTTGACCTCAGCTATCACTTTAGGAAACATAATTCACCGACACAGGAGCGCTAATACATAAGGGTGCAAGCCCGATACTGTTTACACTAAGACTGACACAGAAAACAATGGAACACTGGGGACACCTTCAGGTCTGGGATTAAGCCAAACTCTATGCAGTCTGCTCAGACCCAATGAAACAGGCCACTCCCACATCTCAGGACCTTCAACATAGCAATTTATTTCTCAGTGTCACAGTCCACTCTGATTCCACATTTCCTGCTCCATGGTCAATGGAGTCCAGGCTCCAGACTGACAAGGCAACCCCCATGGGGGACTGCTGGGATATTTTTCTCTCTTGCAGCAGAGAGAAAAGAAAGGCACGGTTAAATGGTGACCTGACTTACCCATGATGCATGCCATGGGTTTTGTTTGTTTGTTTATAGGGTACTCTCATGTAGCTGAGGCTGCTTTCCCAACTCCTAATCTTCCTAGCTCTGCTCCCAAGTGCTGAGATTACAGCCATGCACCCCCAGACCCAGCTGACCCATGACCAAGCAAGTCCACCTCAAAGCCTCCTGGTGACAGGGTCAGGAAAGCAGAACCCACCCCTGACAAGGGAGAACAAACGTTCTAAACGATGGTACAACTTACCATGGCCCCCTGGGAAGGTGTGGTGGCTCTTGGACAGGGCCTTTTACCTCTCTGGACCTATGTCCTCACTTTTAAAATAGTTGCTGAGAAACTTCAAAGCCAAAAGAAAGCATTTTGGAAACAGTAAAGAGACAGACAAATGCAAATGTCACTGTCACTGTCGTTAGGGAAACATCCAGAAACATAGGTGAAGGCCAGCCTGTGGAAGGCTGGATGGCAGGTAAGGGTGGCTTTCACAGAAGCATCGTGAGTGTCTGAGAATGGACACATTCTGCTTAAGAGGGTGCCAGACAATGGTAACTGCCCACAAGCTTCCCTGGCCTTTGATTATAACCCTGCTTCTTTCAATCAAGAAAATGCCAGCCTTTTCAATTCAATTAAACTCTGCACACACACACACACACACACACACACACACACACACACACACACACACACACACACCTCTTACACTCAGAGGTCAGGCAGCTCCAAGGTCAGTTGTATAACCTAAGCACAGCAGGGGCCGAAATCAACTCAACCTCGTGCTTGACTCTGATCCTGGGTTCAGGGTGTGACACCCACTAATCAAGGTTCACAGACTTCAAAGGGCCATGGATTTCATGGCAGCACAACCGAGCGAGACTATAAACCCAGCTGCAGGATGACAGGAATGCCTGAATTTCTTGGCCTCTCTGGAGGTATTGCCCAACGCCCGAAGCTGGCTCCACCGGCTTAAAGCCTACACTTTCATTTAATATTTGTATTGAGGACGAGTTTTCTTTTATCCATAAAGCCCTTAAGATTTCTGAAAGCCAGGTACCAGATTCTGGAGGACAGTTTGGAAGGCAACCCAGACACAGGAGTAAGGACAGATGGGTGGATGTTCTGGGCCACCAAGACCACCCACCATCTATTGCTGGAGCCTAGGCCAGTGACTCTTGGGAGTGGCCAGAATTATCCCCAAGAATTATCTCTATTCTTTCTCCTCCAGGCCTTCTTTACCGAAACCAGCAGGTAGTTGAGCTCTTGGGCCACAATGTCTGGTTTCTGTAGGACTTTGGCGGGGCTATCAAGTTCTCTGAGGTTCAATTTCTTCATCTATATGATTTAGGTTTTAATATGTTAAGACATATCAGAGCTTACTGCAATGCCTCGTAC